TCCCTGTACCCTCCGCGGACTGTCCTGGGGGCCACGGCCCGGCAGGGAGCTGGACACCAGTTCCATGTCTGTTGGGTGTGCCTCCCGAGGACGAGGACCTGGCCTTTTGCATCTAGCCAAACAACAGCAACAGCAGAAGATCAGAGGCTGTTTACTTCCAACCCCTAGCAGCAGCTGGACAGAGTTCAGCTGTTTGGGTGGGGCCTCAGGCCTGACTAATCAAGCTGGGGACCCACCTCCAAAGGCTGGGGCGTTGCCTTGGCAACTGTGGGCTTAAACTCATGCCCTGGCAGGGAAAATACACAGGCCTCTCCACACCCACACACACCCATCCCGTGCACACCCACAGGGTTTCATGAGCTGCCTGTCGGATGGAAAGAGGTGAAGTCATGAAAACTAGTATCCCGAGATGGAGCCCATCAAGAGCTCGTCTCCCCTGTGCCGGAACAGAAGCTTCTACAAGGGGCTGAGCCCCACCTTTTCCTGAGGATTCCACAGCTAGAAGGTGGCAGGAGCAGGACTAGAGTATGAGCAGCCATCCCTTAGGGAACTCTGCACCCCCATGGCTCTCTGCCCTGGGCCTGGCTCATGGTGGGACCTCAGTTAAATATCTGTGACATGAAGGAATGGTGTTTTCAGTTGAGGTCTGAGGCTGGGTGAGGATGACTGCCTAGAAGGTGCTGTCAGGAGGGGGTCAGTTCACTGTCCAAGCTGCTGGAGGATGAGGGTGTCGGCCCCACCTGCTGCAGGAGTTAGTGGGGACACTCTTCCTTCCTGTAGGGCTGGTGTGTCCAAGGTGTGGGTTTCAGCTTAGCCAAGTAGGGTTGGGTGGTCTTGGGTAAGTCACCTGACTTCTCTGAGTCTGTTTCCTCATCTTTAAAATGAGGATGATGATCCCTACATCAGGGGTGTTAGCTGTGAGGACTATAAAGTGCTAAGCAAGTCCTGACACATAAGAAGTGGTTCATTTTTGCCCTTTCCTCTATCTTAAGGAAATAAAGCCACAGGCTTTCAGAGCTAGAAAGGCCTAGGAACATGGGGAGTCTCTTGAGATGAAGGGAGGGAGGCACAGAGAAGGATGGGACCTGCCCAAGGTCACACAGCAAGGACATGGCTAAGTGGGGACTGGGGCCTAGGGATCTGTCAGACCAAGTGTTTTAATCCTGAGACCTGGAATTTCCCAGGTTCAAAGCAATCTTCCTCCGGGTGCTTCTGCCTCCTTAGCCCAAGAGCAGCACAATGACTGGATGGGTCCCGGCTGGGCACAGGCTCAGGGCCAGGCCAGGGTCATTTTCCTGTCTCACATGCTCTCGGCCGCCCTGGAGCCGAGGGCTTTCCTCCCCACCCACTCTCCCCAGTCTCTGACAATGACCCAGGTGTCCGAAAGGATCTGCTCTTGACAATAAGCAACATCCTCCCACCAAATAATTATAAATCCAGCTGTGCTATATGTATATCCCCGATAACACATGTGCAGTCGTGGGTGGCACAGGGTGTGTGCATTATTCTCCCCAACTCTGCGCCTTTGTACATACTCCCGAAGACAGGCTGTCCTGGGCTTTGACCTGGCTTGAGTCTTAGACACAACAAAGGGGATGTTCCCACCCCCACCCCCTGCCCCTGAACCCCCGTGCCGGGACAAGATCCTGAGAACACTTGGTCCACTGCTATCTGGCCCTTTTGCTAAATTGAATGCTGTCCCCCATCCCCCAAACCTGAATCCCACTGCAAGCTTCTCTTTTCTGTAAAAAGGGAAGAAGTCCTCTAGGGTGTGTAGGGTATTGGGGATTGTGCAATGCACCCCTCCTCATGCCCCCCTCCCCTTACTCTCAACCCCGATTCTATGTCCCACTGTGGGTTTTCAAGGACATTGCATCTAGGGTTGAAAACCTCTCCCTGGGGCTTCCAGGCAATTCTGGGCTCACTGACACCAAGGCTTGGACCTTAAGGGCTGGGGCCCCGCAAGCTCTGCCGGCAGCCCCGGTGCTGGGGCCCCACTGGAGGCTCTGCTGCTTGCTCCCACCCTGCTCTGCTCCCCCCACCCACCCAAGCTATGCCCCAGCTTGCCCACATCTCAGCTTCACCCCACTTACACCTCTGTCCACTGGGCAGCCCCCACCCCAACCTGGCTCAGCTCCATGTTCCACTTCCTGCTTCTGCCTCCACCACTACTCCGCCTGCCCCCCTTGCAGCTACCTCAGACATTGGCCCAGCCCCCAAGGGGTGTGTGGGATCTCTGCAAATGCTGCTGGAGCTGGATGTGGTTCCCAGCCTTGGGTTCTCTGGGTGGATGTGGGGTTGGGAACAGGGAAGATAAGGCGCCAGTTGGGAGAGATGCTGGTGGGAGCCGCTGCCTGCTGGGGCCTGCTGAGGGAAGGGGGGAGCACAGGGCAGACAAGCCCTTGGTCTGCCCTTTGGGTGGGTTTTCTTCCTGGGAGTGGCTGGGAGGGGCCTTTCCCTAGCTACACCCCACCTCCATTTACTGGCATATGTAGAAGTTCTGTGGCCATAGCCGCCCTACTGGCCCATGAGGGAGAGTCCAAGTCACTGTGATCTTCAGTGAATTATTCTACATCTCCAGGCCTCGTGTGTTTTCCTCAGTAAAAAGGAAAAAAAAAAAAAACACCTACCTTATGGGGTTGTTAGACATGCCCATAAAGGACTTAGCATAGCACGGGACGCGTGCTCTTCCTCCTTCTAGTTCTAATTAGATCTAGCTTTACCACTCCTAACTCTGGGAAATGAACTAGGGGTGGTGGAAGGGGAGGAGGGCGGGGGGTGGGGGTGAATGGGTGATGGGCACTGAGGGGACACTTGACGGGATGAGCACTGGGTGTTATTCTGTATGTTGGTAAACTGAACACCAATAAAAATTAATTTATTAAAAAAAAAAAAAGATCTAGCTTTACCTGAAGCTGCCCATGCTCCCCCAGGTTCTGAGTCCATACCCTCTGTGGCACTTTAGGAAAATCACTTTCCCCTTCTGGGCCTCCACTCTTCTGCCTGAAAAGGAGACCAGCATCTTGCCAGGAAGTTCTGAAATCTCCTCTCACCTTGGCAAAGGTCTTCCATAGATCTGGGGCTTCCAGACACGGCTCCCTCTTACATGGGGGTGGAGCGAATGGAAGAATCTGGGGTTCGTGTGTGTCTTCCTTCCTTTCTAGGGGTCTTGCAGACATTTTCTTTGGGGCCATGCTTTGCTAAGCCCCCACACTCTGCTTTGCATACGCAGGCGCTCCAAGACTGGATTACAAGCTGTTGTGGGTCATTCGTACCTTTAGTGGGAAAGAATTTGAAGCCACCTTCTCCATTCTATTCTGCAGAACTATTTTCACTACTGGGAAATGTTTCTTGACTTGCCGGAACAAGCGACAGAGCTGTCTAGCTTCTGTGTAGCAAGCACCAACCACTAGCAAAGCACTTTCAGAGCCCTTCAAGTAAATTATTTGTAATCCTGGCCTCAGCTCTGGCAGGTAGATGTTTCACTTCTGTTCGACAGTGAGGACTCTGAGGCTCAGAGTCTGACTCCCAGGTATTGGACTCCAGAGCAGGCTGGTCCGGTTCCAAAGCTACACCAGGCTGCCTTCCTCCGGACTGGGCAAAGCTTTCCCCTCTGCTGGTGGGTCCCAGGCTCTAAAGGCAGGAAGGGGGTGTCTGCAGGAGGAAGTGGCCTTATCTTGATTCAGGCAGAGGCAACAGACGACACATGTCGGTTGGGATTCTATTCACATTTCCAAACTCCCCTTCCCTGTCTGACTTACGACAGCCCTTGAAATGCCAATGAGAACTCAAATACCACTAATGTATACTAATCATAGTTTTCCTCCCTATGTCTGTAGAGGGCATTAGAACTCACATCTTCTGTTCTCAGCTTTCCCTCGTTCTGTCCTCTTGCAACCATGCGTAGTGTGAATATTTTCCTCATTGTACATGTGAGGAAGGGGGTGCTCTCGGGGCTAGATGGGAGCCCGGGACTCCGGCCCCAGCATTCTGCTTTTAAGGGCCAGTGCTTTGAGGGGTCAACATGGTTAAATACTAGGGCGTTGGGGCAGGGTAAAGAGGACCAAGGGATGGCTTTGTTTGCCAACTGAAAACAAAAAGAACTAGGAGATATTTCTAAGAAGACTGGGTGGCAGCAGGTACATGGATGAGGTGAGCTTTGATGATTTTCCTGGTCCTTCCCTGAGACATCTTGGGTTTACCTGCTTCCTCAACCCAGGGCACCCCCTTTACTTGCTGAAGTCTTACCTGTCCATCAACCCCAAAGACACTTGCTGCTTCAAGAAGTCTCCTGACCATCCCCAGGATGGCTATGTCTTCCCTCCTCCAAGTGCCCTGAAGGCTGGCACCAGTCTGCCCACTAGCCTGTGGGGTGACTTGGTCAGGAACGCATGCTTTGTCTACCCGGCTAGGCCATAAGCTCAGCATCCAGGTGAGATGTAGCACCTGGCACAGGCCTTACACACAGGGGTGCTCCGTGATGAGGAGGTGGGAAGGCATGGCCAACCCTACGAGTGGGAGGGGTCAAAAGTGCTAATGGCCCCAGAATGGTGGTCAAGGGCAAAGGGCTGCCTTCTCAAATAGCCTTTGTGCTGCTCGTTCTGCTTCCCATTGGACAGCACAGGGCATGGAGGTTGGAAGTGCCAGGGGCCAGTTGTGGGTAGAGCCACAGGGCCTGCAGGGGTGGTGTGGGGAGACAGACCCACTGGCCGGGCCTCATCTGCCTGCCTGCCCACAGTCTTCCCTATGCCTCATCCAGCTTCCCTGGGGTCAGGGGCGTCCCTCGCCTGGAGAAGCTCCTCCTCCCACACAGCCTGGGATGGAGGCAGGTTCAGGAACTGATGATGAAGCTGAGGCCTTGGGGAGGTCAGCTGAATAGCCTGGGGCCTGTGGCTGGGGAACCCACATCTTTGGAGCCCCAGGCCAATGTTCTTCCTCACTTTGGAGGAACTGGGAGTGGGTCTGGCTCAGGCAGGTGACAGTCTCATTTCTCTGAATAGGTCTGGTAGCAGCTTTCAAGGTCGCCACACCGTATTCCCTGTATGTGTGTTCTGAGGGACAAAACGTCACCCTCACCTGCAAGATCATGGGGCCCATGGCCAAAGGGCACGATGTGACCTACTACAAGACGTGGTACCGCAGCTCGCGGGGTGAAGTGCAGGTCTGCTCGGAGCGCCGGCCTATCCGCAACCTCACATTCCAGGACCTTCACCTGCACCACAGTGGCCACCAGGCCAACACCAGCCAGGATCTGGCCCAGCGCTACGGGCTGGAGTCGGTCTCCGACCACCATGGCAACTTCTCCATCACCATGCGCAACCTGACCTCCATGGACAGCGGCCTCTACTGCTGCCTGGTGGTAGAGATTAGACACCATCACTCTGAGCAGAGGGTCTACGGTGCCATGGAGCTGCAGGTGCACACAGGTGAGGGCCCCCTGTACGGGATGGCCTGGAGGTGCGGTGACTCGGGGCGGTGTGGGTGCCTGTCTGCAAGGGTAAGCGGCGAGGACACTGTGGCTCTGGGGGTGCGGTGCTGTGTGTCTGATGCCGTGACCATGTGTGATGCTAGATGGGTGAGGCTGACACTCCAGGGATGTGTTTGAGATGGGGTGGCCACTGTGTGGGGAGCTGTGTATGGGTCTGTGTGGTTAGTGGGGTGTGATGGAGAGGGGGGTATATGTGGTTCGGTCTCGTGAGAGAGAGGGAGTGCACAAACCTAGGCTGGGATGTACTGCTCCTGACTGTATGGTGGCCGTGTTGTGAGACCTGGGGTGTGAGCCCGTGAGCAGTTGTTGGGGAACGTGTGTGTGTGTGTGTGTGTGTGTGTGTCCAGATGAGAGCGTGAGGGGCAATACGCTGGGTAGACATGTGAGCCAGCAGGTACCTACATGCCTGGGGGGCATGTGTGAGAGTGGGCAGGGCATACCTGGCCACGGGGTGAGAATACATGTCCGTGTGGACCCGTGTGCTGGCTGGGATAAGCCTCCCTGGCCTCATGCTCACCTAACGATCCTTCTCTTTGCTCTACAGACAAAGAAGCCTCATTCCAGTGCATCTCGTACCCACCTTCACCCAGGGAGAGTGAAAGTAAGGGACCACCCTTTTGGCCCTTCTGGGTTCTCTGTTCTCCTCTGCCTTCGTCTTGGACCAAGGCCCCACTCTGAACTCAGACCTCCTCGCCCCAAACCCGCGGAACCCCCATCCTTCCTCCTCTGCTATTGCCTCTCCCTTCTGCTTTCCCCGTCATTGGAGCCATGGGGCTGCAGTCCCAGAAGTCCACTCCCCTTCCAAGGCTTAAAGCCCGAAGAAGCCGGCTCCTGGGGCTCCTGCTCTGACTCCTTGGGGGTGGCCTTTGGCTAAGTGCCCCCCTCCCGACAGGTGCTGGGTGCCACAGGCTGTTATCAGTGGGTGCTGCTCTTGCTCACCAGTGCTCCCCGACATGGGAAGATTGGAGGGCTGTGGGGGGGTCCTCTTGGCTTAGGTCCACTTGCTTAAAACTTCCTTGTTCTGTACGTAGGGAGAGAGGACGGAGAGACTCAGGCAGGGGGACAGCACTACCGTTCTTAGAGCTTTTCCTATATGCCAGGCACCGAGCTAAGTCCTTGCAAGTACTGGTATCTCTTGGATTCTGACAAGAACCCTCTGAAGTAGGCACCACTGTTTTCACTTTCTATATATGGAAGCAGAAGCCCAGAGAGGTGACATAACTTGCTCAAATCCACACAACTGGGGTGTGCTCACTTTACCTTCTTCCCAGCTTGAGGGATGCACAGGGCAGTGGGTGGGTGGCGGTCCGCCCCTGGTGTTTGCCCAGAGAGGCATCCAGTGGAGGAAGGGGGCACTGCTCTGAGGGACAGCTGGGCGCTCAGAGGCCAGGAGACAACGCCCAGCAGCTTAGAGGCAGCAGGAAAAGGGGAGACGTCTCAGGGGTGCTCCATTCTTCTGAGAGGACAAGGTCTTGGCTTCCAGAGCCTTCTATCCATCAATATTGACTGGGCATCTAGTGTAACCAGCCCCTGCCCAGGCCCTGGAGACCCAAAAGTGCAGACCTTCCCCCTGCCCTCCAGGAGGACATGCATATAGAGTGGAGGCAGGAATGAGAACAGTTCAAACTACAGCCCCAGCCAAAGCCCAGCTCAGAGGCCATGGTGACTTTCTACTCCAACTATATTTTGAACCAACGCACAGCTTTAGCCAGGAATAAAATTAGAACACACATTTCAGTCTGAGCCAGACCCTCATAGAACTAAGGAACCCTGGTTCAAGCCCCTGTCCCTGCACACCGCGGACCTTATGTGTTGCCTGGGTACCAAGCTGCTACTGTCCTCACTTCCTCCAGCAGCAGCTCCCCGGCGAGGGCGGACTGTGTGCTCCGAGCGCGAGCACAGGGGAAGGCAGGGAGCCTCACCTGGAGGGGCCCGCCAGTGCTCACTTCCCCATTGCTCCTTCCACTCTGAGCAACCCTGCAGTCCCCCTTCTTCTTCCAGGAGCTCCCAGAGCTCACCTGTGCCACTGCCCACCTCTCACCAATGGGGAAACCAAAGTACAGGGATTACTTCCAGTCTCTCAGCCAGAGTGCCTGATTCTCAGTCACAAACCCTTCCCTGGGAGTCAGGCTGCCCGCCCCTCTGTCAACACCAATTTTCTGACAATTAGTTGTATGAATTAAAAGTCCTGGGGACAGAAACAGGAGATGCCAGTAGGAACCCTGAAGGAACCAGGTGCAAAATGGAGAGGGAGCAGAGATTTGGTTCATTTTGCTCGATCTAGACTCCTAGAGAAGTAGCTGCTGGAATTAAGGAAATGGAAGTCACCCGGAAAGTCCTGGGAGTCTGGCCAGTAAGAACCTGAGGGTGACTTTGAACTTGACTGTCACGAGTGGGTCAGGCTTCCTCTGCTGGGCACTTCTGCTCTCAGCTTTTGACATTCGCCTTACGCTCCAATTTACAGGGATGTGCAGCCTCCCTCTCTGGTCCCTGCTTCTCTGAACTACTGGCCACAGTGAACTGGCTCCCCAAGGGCAGAGGGATGTGTTTACTTCTATCCTAGCTGTTGAGGGCAGGGAGATGGCTTTGGGGACCTCTGGAGTCCCCTTCCAGACTCTTGATTCTGGAGGTCTGGAAACTTATCGCTGTGGTGGAGTCTTGTCACTAAGGTGGGCACGGTGTCAGCTGAAAAGAAACCCAGCTATGCTTTTGGGTGCGGTGTGGGGGGGTTGAGACAGCACTTCCATTTTCAGGCTGTCATGTGTCCACGGAGAAAGAGGAGCAAGCATGTCTCATTCCCACTAACAGGGAGGCAACCAGTGTTATTATCCAAGAGGCTGGATCAGGGACCTGGGAGTAGACAGTAGGGAGGGGTGGAGACTATGGCGAGCAGCTAGCTGCCAGCCTATAAGTGCAATTCCAATTGCTGCATGCTTGGAGAGGCCCCGGGGATGCCAGAGCCAGTTCATTTCCAAGCAAAGTCAGAAGTCCAGATTTTACATAAACTCTCAATTTTAAAGTGTTGGCAAACAAAACAAAACAAAACAAAACCAGTTACATACTGTGTAGGCCATGATAGGATGGCAAGTAGATGACAACAGACAGTAGACACATACCTGTTTTCTAATGGTTTAGAAACATTTGCCTGGTGACCCATGTGGCTAGCGGGCCTCAGGGCTGGCCGCTGGCTACTGCCATCAGTGCTGCTTACCTTTGGAAAAACCTTAGTCCCTGCTTGCTTGAAGACAGGTGCCCCACGGCCCACCTTGGTACCTGACCAGCTAATGATGCTTCCAGACAAGCAGCTTAGATGTCTCTACCTGCAGCCCTGTCTTCTAACATTCCCTTTGGGAAGTAAGAGGGTGGCTGGCCTAGGAAGTTATCTGAAAGCCCAAGTCAGTCGGGGGAGGCAGCAGCAACAGAGAGAGGCTGAGGAAGTTGGTCCCCAAGGAGCCCCAAATTGCTGAGGGTCTATTTTTTTTTTTTTTTTTTTTTTTTTTTTTTTACTGAACACCAATTGGAAGGGGGCTGGGCAGCTTACCTCCTGCAAAGCCACCTCCCTATACCCTACACAGAAAGATGTTTGGTTTGCTTTCACCAAGCCCCCTTCTGGGGGACAAGGTAGCCTGACCAAATGCTCTTCTCCCTTCTTGTACCTGCCTCCCTCCCTCCCTCCCTCCCTCCCTCCCTCCCTCCCTCCCTCCCTCCCTCCAGCGTACTGGCAGGCTCTAGACAAGGATCCTCTGCTGAGAAAGTTGGGGGGGGGCCCTCTCATCCCAGCCTGCTGTGTGAAGCCTGGCACCATTCTCAGAGCTGGCCTGGCAGCTGTCTCTGCCAGTGTGTGATTACCTTGCCAATGAGTTTGGCTCTGGATGCAATCCACCCCCTCTTCCCCAGGTACTGGCCATGCTTGCGGGAAGGGGTAGGGAGCTGCGGTGAGGCTGGGCTCTGCAAAGCTACTAGGGCACATGGGCCCACAAAGCTGTCCCCAAACTGCCTCCTTGTCCCGGCCTCAACACCAGCCCAGGTTGTAAGGAAACCAAGTCCTGATCCCCTAGAGGGGTCGCAGAGGGGGCTCTCTGCCTGGAGACAGAAGTCAGGCCCAGACGGGGACAGGGAGTCACAGTGAGTGAGCACCTAACCTCACTGAACGTGGCTTTAGTAGCAATCCGGAGACCTGCTTTGATGACTAGAATAGAGCACTTTGCAACCCCCTTCTCAGTGCCCACAAGAAGGTCCTATGATGGGCAGTTAGAAATGCTCAAATATCTGAATTATAGAACATGTCTACTTTCACACTTCCACGTCAAAATGCAGCCTTGCTAAGATCTGCAGGGAGCCTGCTTTTACGTGGCTTCGAACTTGCTTTATAATTAGCACAGCAACTGTTCCTGTACTGGTGGGTATGTCTAAAGTGCCTGTAAACAGTTTGTTCACTTCCGTGTTATGAACAACCCCCCCCCAAAGCTTATTTACACCATCAGGTTGTTTAGCAACACAATGAGATAAAAACAGCCTTTATTCCCAGATAAATAGTGCAAAGGCAACACTGAGACTACAGCCCATCCACCTCCCCCAAGCTCCCCGGGGCCATGCTGATGCCGTGACAAGGTATCCCAGCCCATATTTCAAGAAGAGTGCAAATTGGGAAGGAAACGTGTTTACGATACTTGTGGTTCTGAGGGCATGTCTGTTCCCAGCTAAATTCCTGGCGTCAGCAGATGGGCTGGAACAAATCAACCCTCTCATGCTGTTGGTGAGATGGTGAAGTGGTACAACCTTTGTGGAGGGGAATTAGACAATAGCCTCAAAGAAAATATACATACTCTTTGGCTCAGCACTTTTACTGCTGGGAGGTTATGTACAGAGGTACCTGCCCAAGCGAGCGAAGATGCACACACAAGGAGTTCGCTGCTCTGTTATTTGAAATATGTTGAAATATGGAAGCAATCCGCATGCCCACCGATAGGGGACTGTCTCAATAAATTCTGGGGTGAGCCCCACGAGAAAGCCCTAGGCAGAAGGAGGTAGATCTCTGTGCCATGCAGAGATGTCCAAGCCACGCTAAGTGGGAAAAGCGATCGTCACGAAAAGCAGCCGTATGCTGTATACGCAGAGAACAAATCTGGGCCAGATGCGAGAAAAGTGGGGACGGTGAGTGTCTCTTTGCAGGAGGAGGAGGAGAAAGTTAAACATTTTAAGCCATTGGATAAGGATTCACATTTTTTCTAGTTCTCACTCACGTTTCCCCCTCCCCGTGACTTGTATATGTGAGATCACTTCCAGAAGCTGTGTCTGGAGCTAAGGGGTCTCTCGGGATGAGTTGGGCTTTTTCTCATTTTGAATTTTTTTTTTTATTGTGACACAACATATATAACATGAGATCTGCCATTTCCACCCCTTTTAAGTGTGTGGCATTGATTCTGCTCACCAAGTGGTGCAACCATCACTACTATGTATTTCCAAAGGTTTTTTGCCACTGGGGTTCCTTTTGATCTTGAACTTCATGGCACAGGGTCTGTGAAGGACCTGCTTTCCCTTTTCAGGCAACAACCTGTAGCCCAGGGCAGGTGAGCTGTCCCTGGAGGGCTGGGATGAAAACCCTTCTCTCTCTTTCTTGGTGCTGCCTCCGCTATAAACTCCTGGCCTCATTTCTGTGTGCCCTGGGCCCACTTGGGGAGGAGGCATGGGGCTTTCTTTGAAAGAGGACCCCTGGGCCTTCTGTGCCTCTGCGGGTCACTGAGGGTCTGGCTGTGGGGCCTGGGTAAAGCTGGGTCGCCCTGCTGCCTCGAACTTGCCTCTCTGGGCTCCAGCTTCCCCTCAGGAGAGACAGAGGGAATGGAGTCTCACCTTGGCTGTCTCTCTGTCTTTATAGGCATCACAGCTGCTGCTCTGGCTACAGGAGCCTGCATCGTAGGCATCCTCTGCCTTCCCCTCATCCTGCTCCTCGTCTACAAGCAAAGGCAGGTGGCCACCAACCGCCGTGAGTATCCCTGCCTGCCTGGGGTGGGTGAGGGTGTGCGTGATCTGCTCCAGCCCTCAGCTCAGCCCCTGGGATTAGCAAAGGCAAGAGGCAGGCACATTTCCTCTCTGTTCCAGAGATGGGAGCTGCTACAGTCCCTGTAAGGAACTGGGCTCAATGGTGGAGAGAGGAGGGGACCCAGGTGTGCCACTGGTGGGGGGGGCTGAGTGCCCACCAGCCCCAAGTGGTCCTGGCTTAGCACTCAATAAATATCAGTTGAATGAATAAATAATCACTTGGAGTAGTTCAAATTGGTTTATAGAAGTGCTGCCACTAGGAGATCCTTTGCGGATCTGCTTAAATGTACGGGTAGGCCTGTTGTGTAACTAGCATAGTACCATTAGGACAAATATGAACTTTGGATTATCAGGACTGGAAGGGATCTTGGAGATAACTTAGTTCAGTTCTTTCAGCTTCTAGCTGAGAGACCTGAGCTTCTTAGCAGGGTTAAATAATTAACTAAATGTGATAGAAGTTAGTAAGCGGCAGAGCTGGGGCTCAAAGCCAGAGCTTTCAACTCGTGCCTTTCCCAGGGAATATAATCCCACCATATCATCAAAATACCCATCAGTGTTGAGTGTCCTCGCCACTAACCCCTATCTGGGAAGGCTGCTGTGCTGGGTACCACGCCAAGTATGTTATATACCTTCTCCCGCTGAATCCTTGAAACAATGCGAAACCTTGGTCTTATAACTGTTCCTACTTTACAACTGAGCAAACTGAGGCAGGGAGAGGTTCAGGAACTCACCAGAGGAACCTCAGACTGACTAAGGGGTGGAGTCAGGCTTCAAGTTGTGGTCACAAACACAGTTCACCCTCTCTGCGGTGATAATACCCCTTGCCCTTCCTCTGACCCCACCCATGAGCCTGGGCTAGTCCCAGGGACCTCTAAGTGCAAGAGGGTGGGGAGTCCTTGACTCTGGCCCTTGCGTCACCTCCCCTGCCTCTTCCTCCCTGGCCAGCTGAGAGAGGGCTGCTCTGTCGCCAGGTGGCTTCTGGCTCACACCTGATGTCCTTTGGCTGGACCGTAACACCTGGACACCCCTCATTCCTGGCGGCCCAAACTGGAGCCCCCACAGTGGCTCACTTGGGGCTGTGATCCCCTTTCCTTTACTCTCAGGACATCCATGCTCCTTTCATGAAACCCGGTATAGCCTACCTCCAGAGATACCTGAGGCTGGCGGGGGAGTGGGGGGCAGGTCAAGGGCTCAGAGCAGAAAGAGGAACCCAGGGGCTCAGGCAGGGAGAGTAATCACCATGGAGCTGCCATGAGCTCATGCTCATCTGTGTAGTATTTTCATGGAGGTGAGGAAGGGACGAGGAGGGAGACATGCTCAGCTCCCAGTAAAGAGGTGCTTTCTGTGCCCCTCACTTCAGACCACTATACTGCCTCCATGGGAGAACAGGGATGGGAAAACAAATTCAGGGCAGAGGATCGGCGTGGGGTGGCCATTGCTCTTGCTTTTCTTGCCCCAAAGCCTGTTGCATTGGGTCCCCAGAGGTCAGTCTAAGGCTATGCCTGTGCCCCAGGCTAGAGGAAGGTCAGTGAGGGGACAGGCCCAAACACCGTGGGGGCTTCCTGAGGACATGGGGAGCCTGGGGTCAGCCCCTAGGATTTCCCACTCCAGGCGCTGGGACTGAGGTGGATCAGTCCTAGAGCGCTTCCAACTGAGGAAGACCCGGGAAAGGACAGATGAACTGGAGGCTGAAGAACTGGGCTGAGAAGGGGGCAGGTGGTCCAGTGGGCCCGCTAGGGCTGCGCCATGACCAGGGCAGCACACGTCCTCTGAAACTCTAAACGGACCCTGATTATGTGATGTGCAGCTGCTTGCAGCTCCTTATCCCCAAATTCAATATATTCAGTAACAAAAAGATGCCAATAATTTATCTTCTAATACAAGTATTTTTGAGGCCAGTCTGCCCACCCACTCCAAAAAAAAAAAAAAAATTGAGTTGTAGGATCAGAGTCTTAGACCCAAGAGATGCCAGGCGAGAAACCAGGTGCGAAACGGAGAGGGAGCGGAGATTTGGGACATTTCTTTATCTAGCCTCACAAGAAAAGTGCTGCTGGAATTATGGAAACAGAAGTCACTGGGAAATGCAGGGGGTCAGGCTGCAGGGCAGAGGCCAAGCGCCCCAGCAGGATGGCAGGTCAGGGGGGAAGGGGCCAGGGAGTGTGTGTCCGTTGTGGGTAGGCAGGGCGCTGGCTCCGAGAGCATGCTCAGAGGTGAGCCACACTCAGGGAGGAAGAGAGAGGAAGGGTTGGGGGCACCGAGGCAGGCAGCTTGCTGCAGAGGCTGATGGGTGTGGAAACCAATCCAGTTTTAGTCGGAGGTTGGGTTCCCTGGCTCTAAAGTGGGGCCAGCAATCCCCCCATCAAGGAGTGGAGAGGACAAGCGCAGGGAACGCTGGGCACCTGCAGGAAGCCTGATGCGCAGAGCCACCCTCGAAACAGTGGTTCCTTCTGAGAGCAGAGATTTTAGGAACCTTTGTGCAACTTCCCTTGTGTGTTCTGTGTGTGCCCCTCCCACCATGGCTCCCCACAGGGATCTGGTAAAGCTCTTGCAAATGAGACGCATATGGGGAGCTACAAGGAAGAGGGAAGTTGGGGCCACTGCATCTGGCTGGTGGCCAGTTTGGGGGTGGGGAATCCCAAGAATGGGGCAAGCTGGTAGCAGCTTGGAGGAGCAGCAGAAAGTGGCAGAATGGCTGAAAAGTAACGGGGTCTTGGGCCCGTAAGGTTCCTCTAAGAGGTGCCACTGCTAAAGCCACCCTCTAGGCGATGTGGAGGACAGGCCAGAGAGGACCAGGAACCCTCCAATTAGGAACTGACCTTGCAAGCCCTCCCACTCAGGAACTCATGGCGACAGACCAGAGGGTGGCAAATGTCCAAACAGGAAAGACCAATTTCAGGAGTCAGGCTTTCGGTTGATACTTCAATCTGGACGGTCTCACAGCACCCAGTCAAGCCACAGGAGAAAGCACTGGTTGCCCTTGGCCTCCTGGTGATGAACGCTGTCTTTTATATTTGTGAAATGCAGCCCGAGTTTGTTACCACTGGTTAAAACACCGGGCTCGCCGAGGCCTTGCCCGCAGTTCCCCGAAGGGCATCTGCCAGGGGAGGGGAGGGGGCGTCATCTAGGGAAGCCTCTTCTTGGTGACTAGCTTCTCTGTCTGTATGTCCCCAGGTGCCCAGGAACTGGTGCGGATGGACAGGTAAGGCCCGTGGAATCTTCCTGAGAAAATTTCCCGCAGCTGCCCCGGCCCCAACTCCAAGCTTGGCAGGCGCACTCTCTGCTTACCCTTCCCTGGGGCCTGTGGCTCTGCAGGGCAGCGTGACCATAGCTGGGGTTAATGCAGAAGGGGGGGCGGGGCTGACTTCTAGCCTTGGACTGACTCCTCTTCCCCAGGATCCTTTCGCCTGCTCCCTCCACTGATAACCTGTACTGTGACAGGGCTCAGCACACGGGCATGGCCTCCCAGGTCCTCTGTGCCCGGGGTCAGCTGTCAGGAAGGAGGGCTCTGCAGGAGGGTCCCTGTACAGCCACCAAGCCCAGCCATCTGTGCTGTCTGCTGTCTGCCACTGAGGCCTACACATCTGTGCGAGTTGGCTGCTCTCCCTGCCATCCCTCACCCAGTGGGCTGAGCTCCATTGCTGCTCAGATGAGCCAGGCACCTACCTTCAGGCCTCAGTGTCTGCTGGCCTGGGGGTGTGAGGTCAGGGGCAGGACAGTGAAACATGCCAAGGAGGACAGCACACCTGGAGCTGTGGTCCCTCTCTGCAGGGCTCTCCAAGGAGAAAGCCATCAGGCCACAAGGGCAGAGGTTGGTGGCAGAGGCTGCTCTGAGCAGGGCTGCGGGCTGGGCATAGAGCGGCCAGGGGAGTGTGTTGGGGTGCTCTGGGCAGGAAGCTAACGTGGAGCCCAGCATTGAGGGTGTCTTTAGGAATGAGCCACAACCAGGAACTTGGCCCCGGGACCTTTCTTAGGTGTCCAAAAGGAATGATTTACCAGGTCAAGGGAAAGTCCTGCTAGTGATCCTGCCGGTATCTTAGAGTTGACGGCAGGCGGTGCAGGGCTATGTGTGTGGGGTCTTTTTAGAGGTTGTCTCGCACCCAAGGAGGAAGAGGGAGAGAACTCCTCCCTCCAGCTTACTACAAGCTGTGGGGACATTCGAACCTAATGCCATCAATTCTACGGACCAAAGAAGAACCTGTTGCAGATCCTTAAGTCTGGTGTCTTCAACATATCTCTGACCCCAGGCTTCCTACCTGCGTCCAGGGCAGATGGCCAAATGATCGGGTGGAGCTGGGGTTGGATGCCCTCGGCTCAGGGGAGATGGGACATGCCGGCCTTGGCCTTCTCTCTCTGACCCCAGATCCTCCCGGGAAGGGGGTGCTGAGGCCTGGGGTGTAAAGGCATAGGAGGAGAAGGAAGCAGAGAAGTGGGACCGGCAGGAGGGCGAAGGCCCCAACCCAGGCAGTACCATTGACCGAGCCAGTTCTGCTTTTCTAGCAACAACACGCAAGGAATCGAAAACCCTGGCTTTGAGATCTCTCCGTCCCCCCACGGCATGCCGGACGCCAAAGCCAGGCCTCCACTGTCCTACATGGCTCAGCGGCAGCCGTCCGAGTCTGGGCGGCACCTGCTCTCCGAGCCCTCCACTCCTCTGTCTCCACCAGGCCCTGGGGATGTCTTCTTTCCAACCCTCGGTGAGTGCTTCCCAGCAACCCTCGGGGTGCTAGAGCCTGCAAGGTCACTACCTCCCCATGGCCTGCAGGGCACCAGCCTCACTCTTTCTTTGGCCTTATAACCTCCCAGGTGGGTGTAGGGGGTGAAAGAGAGAGAAGCCCCCGTTTCATTCTACTTCTTCTTTCTTTTGCAGACCCTGTGCCTGACTCCCCAAACTCTGAGGCCATCTAGACCAGCGGGGCCAGTGGCAATTGTGGCGGAGCCCGGGGCAGGTGCATCTGAGGCAGAGCTGGCCCTCTGAGGGGTCCTCTTAGCCTTGGTCCCAGCCTTGGTTTCCTCCCTTCTTGCTCTGAGCCCAGACTCTTTGAGATATCTCTGATGGCCAGACCCTCAACTCCTCTGAGTGCTACAGGGCAGAAAGGAGAAGGTGTTGGCTCTCTCAGTCCCTGTCTCAAGGGTGGTGGGGTGCTGAGATCCCACCCCAGAGACCCGAACTTCACCAGCTACAAATGCCAAATGGCCTACATCCTAGAAGCTCAAGAGTTTCTAGCCTATGGCAGCTTCTCTCCCTGGGACATGAGCTTTGTGACCTGACAGCACAGGTGGGACAAGAGGGCACCGGACAGACGCCCCCACCCCCACATTCACCCAGTGCTGTCCTCCCAGGCTTGAGACACAGGACGAGATGTGGAAAAAGCCAGCTCCCTGATCTCGCCTGAGGCTGTTCATCTGTCAGACTCTTTCTTCGTAACCCTGGGGCTCCGGGGGCTGGGCTGCCTGCCCTGGGGCCATGGGAGTCTTGGCCAGCTGTCTGCTACTAGCAAGTGGCTAACTGTAACAGGTTGAGCAAATCTGGGCTCCTGCTGCCTGCCCTCTGGTCCCCAGAGTTCACTGGCCTGGGTCCCTGAAACAGGAAGTGCACACCAAGGCACAGTGGCCACTGTGGGCCAACTGGCATCTTGGGCAATGGGGGCCAGGCCAGAGGTTGCACTCTCCATTGCAGAGGGGGGTAAGGGAGGGCAGGTGGAGCCTGCTGGGAAGATGAGTGGAGAGGCCCCGCCTCCCGCCCTCCCCTCTCCACCGGACAGCATGCTCAGTACAGAGGGTGACCACATACTGTATTGTCTCAACTGTGACCCTCCAGCGGAAAGAGCGGGTGCCATTAAAATCTCCACGGGCAACAAGTGCAAACCCTGTGAATAGACTGTAGATGCTGGGTTTTAATCCCTGCTCTGCTTCCAGGAGGGCCTGAGGTCCAAGGAGCACCTCTCCCCCTCCAGCTCCCAACCCTCCTCTCTGCCACCCCACCCCCATCTTTGGTCTTCCATTCAATTTAATCTGTGCTGAGTCTTCACCTCACCAGAGTGACCCTGTCAGGTGAGCATGGACAGGGAAGGGTCTGTGGCCCTCTGCTCTGGGTCCTCTGCTACGTCTCCTGCTTCAGGGCATGTCCGGCATTTGTTTTTATGGGAGGGGATCCTTTGTGGAATTCTGATTAAAGGGTTTTAAAACAGGGAGAGAAGTGGGGGGCCTCTGCATACTCTGGGGTGCAGAGATGGGGGCCCAAGAAGGGAAGGGGCGAGTTTGAGTGGGGTAGGGGCCCAGGCACTGCACTGAGGAGGGCGTTCCTCTGCCAGCAGCCTACCGGGGCTCCGCTGAGCTGGGCCCGGGTGCCCAGAGCCAGGACTTCAGGCCCGCATAAGGGCCCAGCAGGCAGGGAGAACCCGCTGGATTGCCTGGTGGTCAGGGAGACAGGAGCTGGGGACTGAAGAAAGCAGCTTTAGGCTCTCCAGCAGCAGTGAGAGCCCCCAGGCCTGCAGCTAGAACCAGGCAACTCCCCCTGGATGCATGGCATTGCTTCCAAAAGCCCCTATCAGGCCCAAGGGCATGGGCCAGTGTGGGTGGCCTGCTACGCCTGGGGGCCTCAAGGGACGGATGGGCCTGGGCCTTGAGGCTGCCCGGAAGCCTCCAGTACACCAAAATCCTGGCTCCCGCTATATCCCTGGGGAGTACCTCTCCTATTTCACCTGCTGCCAGGGACACTCAGTGCTGGCTGCCACAGAAAGAGGGTGCTGCTCTATCAGCCCTTGGGGGCCCATGGCAGGGATGAGTGTGGTGACCCTTGCCCAAGGCTGAGCTGGGTCACCCCTAAGATTGAAGGAGGAGACTGCAGACCAGACTCTCCTTCCCCCAGCTCAGGAAGAGTGCTCCTGCCCTCACGGGAGGCCTGGCCCAGCCCTCAGCTCCTGACCTCGAGGCCGACAGAATTTCTAAGAATTTGGCTGCAGACCCCAAGCCTGGCTGTGGCTGTGTAGAGGGAGGGAGGAGGGCCCAGAGCAAAAAGCTACCACACTTCCTCCCCAGCTTCCTCCTGCATGGCCTCGAGCTCTTCTTCTTTGGACTCTTAAAAGTGAACACATTTCAGCTTCGTGGTTTCCTGTTTTCACTGAAATTTACGCCGAGCTCCAGGCTCCATCTGCATCCATGACCACAAGCTCCACCGCTAGAGGCCTTAAGGCATCCTCCCTGCTGCTAGCGAGGAGGGCAGGAGGCTGAGTGGCCTCCCCCTGCCCACGCCCCTGCTTGCCTGGGGGTGAGGGTGCCTCAGGAGATACCTGACCACCCTGGGGGCCAGTCCCTGTGGGTCCTAGCTCAGTGCCCATGGGCTGGGGTGCCCAGAGTAGAGCAGGGGAGGGGGATCACTGTGCCTGCTTCTGCTGGGGCTGGGAGGCCCACAGATCACAGCACCGACTGAGGCCCTCAGAAGGAAATCTGTGCTTTCAGGCACTAATCATTGTTAAGAGATATATCAGGGACCATCAGGGCCATCGTTCCTGTAGCCTTCTGAAGTCTGCATTTTATAAAGACAGCCAAGAGATGGGACGCCTGGATGGCTCAGCGGCTGGGCGGCTGCCTTCGGCTCAGGTCGTGATTCTGGGATCTGTGATCGAGTCCCATGTCGGGCTCCCTGCATGGAGCCTGCTTCTCCCTCTGCCTGTGTCTCTGCCTCTCTCTCTTTGTGTCTCTCATGAATAAATAAATAAACCTTTTTCTTAAAAAAAAAAAAAAAGACGGCCAAGGGAGAGGTTAAGGGAATGGAATCGTCACTCTCTGAAAACATGCCATGGAAGCCACTGGGGATGCTGCTGTTGGGTCAGGCTGGGAGGTCTGGGCCAAGGGGTGCTGGAGTGGGTATGCAGGAATGTTTGCCATGGGCAGGGGGTCCGGCGCACCACCTTCTCCAGGGAGTACTCTAGGGTGAGGGCCTAGGGAAGACAACCTGTAGAGGTCCTGTCACTCTCCACCGCAGCTGGGGCGCTGCCTGCTGGAAGGGGCCTTCCTGGGGTCAGCTGGAGTGCCCAGGCTGGTCTGTGATTACACAGCAATGGGCAGAAAGGGACTGGGACTGCCAGCCAGGACACCAGGTGCAGAGGCCTCTCGAGAAGTAGACAGCCCAGCTCCGCATGAGTCCCAGCCCACAGTGGACACCGGCCATGTAGCCCTTCCACTGGGCACTCACCTCTTTCCTGTACGGGTGCGGCCTCCCTACCTACTCTGAGTGCAAAAAGGTCTGCGGCTCCAGTAGCAGCCTGTCCTTCAGACCTAGTTGCACAGCTGACAACTGAAGCATAGCTGCGGGGTGACGGGTTGAACCAGGATGCCAGGGTCCTGTTCTCTGGACACTCCCAGGGCCCCCCTCTGACCCTCCACCAGCTCTAGTGCTTAGCAGCTCTGCCTGTGGGATCTCCCCAAAAGCCCTGAGCTCGTGTGGGCTGGGGGGCCGGGGGGCGCCGAGGTTTCATTTCATCTTGCAATTCTGATCCAGTGGCAAGACTTCCTCAAATATGTGTTGGGAGGGATTCTGAAATATCGATATAGCTTACTGAGAAAATGCTGACTTGAGCGCGCAATGAGCCCCAGGCACATGTCGGAGAAGTGGCAGCTGGTGTGCTATCTCTTTGCCTTTTCTGTTACAATACTGTGTTTTCCAAAAACATTTACACATGTGTTATTGCCTTTTTTTTTTTTTGATTCCCCCTCCCCTACCAGAGGCTTTATTGTATCCATTTAATGCACAGGAAGATGAGACTCCAAAAGACTTGTGTCTTGTCACAATAAGTGAAGGTGGACCTGGGACTAAAGCCTAGGCGTTCTGCTTCTCAGGCCTGTGCTCCTTCCTCTTCACTGAACGGATGGCATCATAGGCCAGGACTTGGACCTGTCTACGGTACATGCCAGGGCCCTGGGGGGTGAACCTGTGCCTGCAGGCCCGTGGCTCACGTTCCTTCTGCAGGTTTTGGCCACTCCCCTTTCTGTCTGGCAACCCTGAAACTACAGGACTCCTGGTGGGCCTGGGGGCCCATGCACCATCCCCTCCCCGCTTGCTCACTGTGGGAGAGGGGAAGGGAGGAGCTCTCAGCTGACCAGGGTCTCTGGGAGGAGACCTGCACTGCACGTGAGCGACTGCGGAACCTCCCTCAAGACATGGGGTAAGGGAAGGATCTGGATGTCACTGTGGGGCAGAGAAGGCATGCTTACTTGGTGTGCGGCTCAGGGAAGGGGCGAGGCGGGGGTTTCCTGAGCTCGAGCCAGGGGAAACTTCATCAACAACAGTGGGGTCCAAGTTTAATAAACAGAAGAGCTCTTGGCCCTGAAGATCAGAGGTCAGCTGCCAAGAGCAATGTCCCCAGCTTAGACTTTCACTGGGCTACTGCTGGAAATTCTTGTACCTTCAAGCAGGCAGGGGGCAACTTCTGACCTTCTGCCTGGACAGGTGACTTCTGTAGGTCCCCCCTCCCCGACACCCCAGCCTGAGAAGCCAGAGCTGGTTGGCTGGGATCATCTAACCTGCTGGCTGTGATTCGTGCGGCAGGGAGGCCCCCCGTCAGGCCCTCCCTCTCTCCATTCTCCTGCCAAGGTGCCTCTGTGGCTGGAGGCAGCTCCTGACCTCCCCGGTGCTATTGCCTTCCGTCCTTCCTCCCTGGGCCCGGCCCTTCCGCTTGCAGGGGCCTCCCTGCCGGCCACTTAGAGCCCTCCCCCAAGCCTGGCCTCCTTTGCCTGTGTCCTGGAGCTATCCAGAGAGCTGAGGCCATGCAGTGATTTCCCCTGGCTGGCTGGCACACCATTGTGTGGCGGGCCTGGGCTGGCCCGGATGCCCCTTGCTGCACAGCTGTTCCTAGCTCTGGGCGACACAGGGCTCAGAGCTGGGTGGGGACAGGAATGCACAGTTCTCAGGAAATTGGGGTGTGGGGCCCAGGGAGAAATGAAGAGATAAGAGGGTTCAGATACAAGATTTCTCTTGGTCACTGAATAGCAGGCTCCCCCGGGGTAAGAGGGCTTCACCGTGTAAGTCACAGAGGCAAATGAGGTCTTCTCCAGAAAACCTTCCTTGGTTCCTGACTCCAAGTTCCTGGCACTTTATTACATCCCAGAGTGGTGACTTCCTGTTACCTGTCCACCTGCCCCCTAGATTTTAGGCTCCTTGAGGGCAGGACTGTACCCAACTTGTGTCTGACTTCCTGGCCTCCAGCACAGGTCTGGCATGTATTAACTGGTGTTAAATGAATGAAGGAAAGAAGAAAGGAGTGACTCTTACTTGCCCTTGTAAGGTTAGTCCTGGGCCAGTGAGGGCTGGCTTGAACCAGGCAGATAATTGCAGTTGGAAACAGGAGGACAGTGTGCGGGTCTGCTGGGCATCCCTGGACAGATATGTGTGGGGTGGCATCCACCCATAAAACCATGGTGACCTTTCCTAAAACCTTGGGACGGTTGGTTGTTCTGATGCTGCTCATGGCTCTGACTGATGCAAGAGGGCTTGAAACAACCCTACCCTTGAATATCCATCCGGTGAAATCTGCCCAATAGCAGGGTAGGGACCTCCTCTGGTCACCTCTGGCCTGGTCCTCGGTTTTGTGCTTGACCCCAGGGGTTCACTGTCTAGAGGGGACAGTCTGACCACAGAAGCAAAGCAAATCTTCAAGGGTCCAGTGCTCCTTGGAGGCAAATGCCAATCATGGTGGGGCACTGGCTCCCGGTGCCCTGGCTTGCCTCTTGCAGCCTGTCCTGTGCCAGGAGGGAGCAGAGGGGACACTTGAGAAGATAGTGTGATCAGCTCTTAGGGCAGGCCCCAGAGACAATGTCCCCAGGAGGATATGTAGACAGCGAGCCATGCTCTCGGCTCTGAATGCTGCCCCTGGGCCTGAACTACCTGTGGCTCCCCAAAGCCATGCCTGGTCATTGCTTGCTCTTAGGCCTTTGTTCAGGCAGCTCTCCAGGTCCAGGATATCCTTTGTTGTGCTAACTATGACCACGTGACAAGAAGCCCAGGTGTCACCTCCTCTAACCCCTAAGAAGCCTTCTCCAATCCCTTGTTAGTGCTCCTCAATGTACGGAGAGCCTCACTGCCTCCCTTACTCATTTGCACTTTATTGTGGCAGGAACCAACAGTGGTTTCTCCCTGTGTCCCTGGTGCCCAGCACACAGGGACATCTGGGGAACATTGGCTGGCTGCCTGATTGAATGAATGAATGAATGAATGAATGAATAAACGAATGAACGGACAGAGAAGCTCTAGTGCTCACTTCTCAACTACACTCCCGTGGCCACTGCCATTCTTCCCTGTGGGGTGTCCCTTACACAAGTCAAATACCAGAGCTCTTTTCTCAACCTGAAGGAGGAGGAAAGAAAGTTCAAAGGACATAAAAAATGTCTCCTGTAAACTTTTCCCTGGCTGGTACCTGGTGCTGTTTGTCTGCATCACGCACGGTGTTACAGCCCAGGAGCTGAACACATGTTTTCTCGGTCATGGCCCCAGGGACCCCATGCCTGATGTTAGTCATCTGGAAGGTGCTTTCCTTTCTGGGGCCGGAGCTGGTGATGACCAGAACGTGGACGGTAGAGAAAGGGAGATCATACCTCTCACCACCCAACTCTTCATAGTCTTGCCAGGGAGCTGGAAAGCCTGAGATGTGCTTCGAGGTGGGGCCAGGATGTCAGGGACCCATGGGTGAGGAGGCAGTGCTCATGGGTCTCAACCGGGCTAGGCTGGGTCTCTGGGGGGGTGGGGTGTCAGCAGATGGAAACACCTTCTGGCCACAGGGACTGGTCTCAGGTTCTACAGAAACTGCTTGGGTAGTGGCCCACCCATTCGTGGTGGTTAAGTGTGGCTGGGGTGATTCACAGTTCCCTGATTGTCTTTTCTTCTGGGGACCAAAAGGAAGCCAGATGTTGCCTCCAAAATGCAGGGTCTCAGGATATCATGGGTCTCACTGACTGCCTCCCAAGGAAACTCTGTGGGGTTTGGGTGAGATTGGTGTGTGCACTGGTTTAGGGCAGGATGAGGAGCAGCCGCACGGCACATGCTCTCAGCTTCCCACCCCCAATTCATTCTCTACCCTTCCCTCACTAACGAGCTCTGTTTTTGTCTGAAGCAATGATCTGTCTGGCTCCCACATTATAAGCCAGTCCTGACAATCCTGTCATTTTTTCCAATCTCCTCTGTAGTGAGGGCGCCCATATGAACCACTTTGGGCCATTGGCATAAAAGCAGAACTCTGGAGAGTAGTTCTGAAAAACTTTTGCTTTCTTGATAAAGGGGCAGGAGTGGCTTGCATAGCTCTGTCTTCTTGTCATTTCCTGTCTTGAATGCTGACATGATGGCTGGTGCCATAGTGGCCATCTTGCAACCATGGGGGAAGGTCAGGAGGCATTAGCTCTGACGTCACCGAGCGCAAAATCAACATTTGTAATTCTCTCCAGAATTTTTGTTATGTGAATAAAATGCATTCTGATTTATTTATAACTCTAGAGTTTCTGTCACTTATAGCCAAACATGTCTCTAAATGCTATTGGAGCAATGACCAGGATGATGACTTGCCCCAAAGCCAGGTGCAATTAGGGAGGGGTTGTCAAAACGGACTCTTTCCATGTCACACAGTAATGATACCCCTACCTGTTCCCCCCTCAGGTAGTTGCATGTGTCCTGTAAATGTGCCTCTGTTTAGCTCACTGGGTGGGAATGGCTGAAGTGACCAGTGGGGACGCTGGCAGCTATGGAACTAAGGATGCCCAGGGTGTGCCCAGAGCCAGTCCCATATCCTGGGCATCTCAGAATGTGGTTTCCTGGGATTGGTCAAATTCCACCATCCTCCCCAGAGACACGCCAGATAAACAGGCCTGCTCTGACCTCACAGTCTACAGGGCTGCTGCCAAAGGGGAGGGGTCTAACAGTCATCTGTAGGAGGCAGAGGGACGGGACTGAGGCCTCATTGAAGATCAGGTTCCTAGGAAAGACAGTACAAAAATGTCCCCAATCCTTTACACTGTATCTGTGTATCCACACTCTTTTTAACTCATTTGCAACTTGTTCCTTCAAAAGATGAGTGTTTGTGACTTGCTTTGGCCAACAGAATGTGCTAGAAGTAACCTCGGTACAGTTTCAAGCCTGGGCTCAAGAGGCCTTGCGTGCTTTCACTGTCTGTCCTGGACCCTTTCTAGCTCCACGTGAACAAGCATGAGCTAGCCTTCTGGAAGAGGAGAGATAGCGACCCGCCCCCAAAAGCCGAGCCTTCCAACGCCACATAGCTGCCCCCCCAACACAGGTGGGCTCCCAGTTAAACCAGGCCTAAATTGACAGTTTGCAAAGCTGGTCCTAAATCAATGGTTGTGTTCCGTCTTCCCATTTGGTTTGGGTTTCGATGCAGCATTACCGCGGCCATTCAGAGCTGATACAATCCTCCTCCTCAGGGCTTACCAAGCACTTCCGCAGACATGAGCTAATTCAAATCCCCAGACACCTTTACAGATGACGAGACCGACATTCCGAGAGGTTCTGACTTGCCGGCGATGGCGCAACCGGCTCACAGGGCTCCCGACTCCAAATCTCCCCCCCTCAATGTGCAAACGGCTCGCACCCCGGCCCATCCCCCCAGACTGTCTTGCCATCCGGTCCCACGGGTCCTGCCTCCTTCTCCAACCTCACAAACCTTGCATGTTGCCTTGGGCAGGGGGCTTTTTCTGAACAAGCACCAGACTGGACCAAGAACATTCCTCCCATCCAAGCTGGACATACTGTGACAGCGCGTCATAGCAATGTGACAGAGTACCTTTTCTTATCTGGCACAGAGTATGGGTTAATACAGCGTGACAAGTGGGGTGGGGGCTGGCCAGGCCCTAAGGTATAGGCTCAATCTGTACCATCCCACAGAGCTGCCCTGTTTGGGCAGAGAGGGCTGAACAGAGGCTCTGAGTGGCTGCAGAGGCAGGAGAACCAGCACACCAGTTCTGCACACGCGGGTCCTCCATAAACACTCATACGCTGACCTTCTAAAGGCACAATAAAGGGATTGCCAAGGATTCACCCACGGCGGGCATCCCACTCCCATCCACCTCGTTTGCCCGTGCACAGAGGTCAGAGCTGCCCTTCAAGCACCCTGCCCTCCCTGCAGCCGCCCCCCATTACTCACCGACAGGGTCGGGGTGCCTTCGTCCT